TGGCTGGAGGTTGCTTGGTTGCCGTGCGGCAGCGTGAATTGGAGGTTTTTTTTGATCGCTGCGCGGCAAATGGCGGAGGTTGCTGCTGGTGAAGAGGCTAGTCGTTGAGCGCGGTCGTAGGGGCCATGAGGCAGTGGCTACGCCAGAAGCCCAGTGAGTCGAACCATAACACGACCGCCGGCGAGTCCAGGCGCGGTGCCCCAGTGAGTCGGGTGTGAGAGCGCTGGAGGGCCGAGGCAGTCGTGCCTGGCGCAGCCTGCCGATGTTTCCGAAGACCGAGCGCTGGCAACGAAGCCTGCCGGCTGAAGTTGCTTGATGTGGCTAGCTTATAGACTGGTGATGAACTGAATTAAACTGCATAACTCTGCTCTTTTATACACTGGCCGGTGGGGCGGAGCCAAACTCGAAAGTGAGGAGGAAGAATTGATTGGCTAGCGCGCGTAATGGTGTAGACGCGGGCTAGCGCCGAGCGTAGTATAAATGCGATCGTTTGAAGCAATCTGATTGGTTAGCGCGCGTGATGGTGAAAAGTGATGTGAAGAGCGAGCGTTGCAGAAATGCGTGATAATGTGGGATGTTCCCACACCTTCTTACCGACCGAGCCCTCGGCATTGGCGGTAGCCATTTTTTATCAAGAGAGTGTCCGCCGGCCACCGCGGCAGCAGTGATGCTTCATGACGTCACGCTGGCTGTGTTGCCCACCAATAGCATTGAGTTGCATTCCCCTGGTTGAGACTCGTGTGACTGAGTGCGCTTGGGACGTTGGTCTCTATTCGGCCTATTGTACCCGATTGTACCAGCCCCGGATGATTGATGATAATGAAAGTGGAGCAGTCGGTGGAATGAGAATTGGCAAGGGAAACCGAAGTACTCGGAGAAAACCTGTCCCTTTGTCCACCAAAAATCTAACATGACCTGACCTGGGATGGAAGCAGGCGACGAACCGCCTTTGCTATGACACGGCCTATGAGTAGAAGTTAGCCGTCATAACGACTGAACCACCGCTTTCGACCGCTTTCACCATCCAAGTCCTGGAGACGTGTACACGTATATGATTCAGAGATGGCAGTACAATTCTCATGACAAAACATTGCATCGATTGTGCATTAGTTTGCCAATTATTGGTGGAGTATCTAGCTTGTTTGTCTTTACAAGTGATCAGCTTGCTGGAAAAAAAGCGATTTGAGTAATATAACCGCACCAGGAGAAAGCAGAACTGATATATGACAAAGAGAAAGGGAAAAGAAGGGGGGGAAATATATAGTTAACTTACGTAGGTTGGTTGATTGTGGGGTCTGTTCGGTCAGTTAGTGATCGAAGTAGTTGCAACGTTTCGGAAGTGGTGCGGGCTACTACCGAATATTACCATGGTTGTCAAAGTTTACATTTCAGGGATTTCTGGAAATAAAGAGGTAAACATTATTTAGCATATGAGCGATTGTTACGTGTATTATAACACCAGATGCCATGAACGTGAAAACATCCTGTCATTGTGTGATGGGAGAGGTAGTCAGCTGAATCACAATTCTGGTCTGGTCTATACATATTTTAACAGATAGACAAGAGAACTGTATAATAAACATACCAGAACAGTGGTTTAATATATAAGATTGACTGCAGTAGGGGTTGTATATGAAATAGTCCGTTGAACTAATGTTATTAAAAGGAGCAATCTGTACTTACACCATTGTTATTCATTGTTGTAAATAGATCTGAAGTATTGTCCTTTGACTTATCAAATCGCACATTTCTGTTTGTGAAAAAGTGGTTATGTGATATCAGCAGAGACAACAGTGTCGTAGCTACACCAGACATTGTATTGTCAAATTCTCATGAATAGTACGATGTTATGACTGCTCATATTGTGGCCCTCTGGTTTAGGACACTGTAGTTTGGTAGATCTGCTTTCCATCCTCAGGATAGAAGATGGAGGTAGTATATTCTTGCAAAATGTTGGTACCCACCAACTATACTGTATGGTGTCACAACCCAGAAAGCCACAATATGAATATTTACAGCTGTGAGAATGTTCAGTTTTGGTTTTATATATATTTCCAATTTTTGTTTAACTGTAATGTAAGAAATGCCATCTTCATATTCTGAGTTCATACAGATCATTTTATTGCTATTAGGACAAAATTAAAAAGTAGTTATGAGGTAATATATAAAATTACAGCTTATTGTAGTCCTATTATAAAGGATAAAACAATTCCATCCAGTGTGACTGTTGAAGTTTTTACTACTTCAGTTCTTAACACCCTCACATGTTTCGGTCCTTATAGACCATCATCAGAGGGACATCGATACTCTTTGGAAACCACTATTACAATAGATGTTCTGAGTGTTAAAATACATACACATACAATGTTTGTAACACACAGTATATACAAAAGCTAAAGTTTTCACAACTACAGTGACCGTCTTGGTATATTAAAGTTTTTAAAAACTTTTTTATTTAAGTTAAAATTTATAAACCATGTAGGTTTGTGTCCCTTCTCTATTTGCCTTTCTTGACAGGGGCCGAAATTGTGCCATCTGTCTTTCTTGAGGAGCTTCTTTGATATCGTGGTGTGCTGTGTTGTTTTTACACAGCACGCCATGAAAACCTGTCCACACCTGTTGCGTCTGCAAGTAGACATGCTGAGTTTCCCACCACAACAGTGTGTGCGCTATCTTATCGCTCATTCTCCGTCTGCAGGAGAATTCTGGGAACTTTTTGACTGCCCTGCGTATTTTACACACAATGAAATATTACCCAAACAGCCACTACAGTAAATTAAGAAGAATGGACTTGTATTGTTAGACAGTTAACATCAGTATATATAGTATGTAAGATTATGAAACTGAAGATGAGGCCAGGGCCAAACAAAGGGCTGTAGAGCCATGATATGTATGTAATATTGCCATAAACTAGGTATAGAAAACTTCTGAGGTAATGTGTATGAGTGAAGTATCCCTCGTCTATTCCATGTAAAACACCCATGTGTGGTGTTATAAGCCTAATTGTTTCCATATAATGAAATATTAAAGTGAGGTTTTACTCTGAGAAGCAGAATGCTTATTCTATTTGTGTATGTTGCTACTTATTCCCCTGAGAGAAAAGTATCTTGGATAATAGCTGTGAGTATCCATAAAATACAGATGTTATACAATATTTGTACAATTTTAATTGATTTAGAAATCATAATAAATATGTCCACGACGAATAAAGTTTCACATTGGCAATCAAGAGCATGCTTAGTAAAAATTTGGTCACCTGTGCAGTATTTGTGCTTTAATCTGCTGATATATACACTGTGTCATATTCTAACACCATGTAGTATTGCAAGTGGTTACCAACTTTTTGGGAGCAACCCATGACCTCCATCTTCACTATGGAAATATTTTATACAAGACTATATGGTGTCAGTCCAAAAAGCCATAATTGCTATGAAAAAGTGAAATTTCATAAAGATGTACATAGTTTGAATCTCAGTGGGGGTATTGGCAGTTATATTTTGTATAATTTACCCATGATTCCATGTTTATGAACTAAATTCATTAGGGTCTGCATCTGGTGCTGTTTACTAATAATATCTTACTCTTCTCTTATTTTCATGTTACTGAAAAGTATTAAAATAATGCAGTTAAAATATCAGGAACAATTTAATTAAAAACATACATATCCATATGTGGTATGTATAGCAAATTTGTCTGAAATGTTATTTTTACAATTCTGGTGACATTTAAGATGTATGTTTTGTTTGTTTTTTTTTTTCCACAGGTAAAGAAACACCAGCAGGTAGTGCTCATGATATTGGACAGCAAGAATATTGAATATGTTGTAGTTGATATTACAGAACCTGGCAAAGAAAATGAGAAGGAATTTATGCAGCAGAACAGTAAAGCAAAGGTGGCAAAGTATCCTTTGCCACCACAAATATTTAATGAGGATGATTACTGTGGAGTAAGTGTAACACTAAAAAACTAAATATACACATATACACAGTCTTAAATTGATAATGCTGTGAATGCTGCAATTTCTTGACTGCTGAGCCTGGTTTATTGGGAAAAATTACAGTGGCATGGTAGTTTGATATAATGAAAAACCTATACATTACTTTGTTGGATTACCTTCTGTTAAATGTCTGTACATTGGTTAGAAAGTTTTCACATGAACATGTACATACTTCTGACATTAACTCAATGAATGAATATAAGATGCCAGTGGTAATTCTTTCCATTAACTGTTATATACAGTATGCACCAAAACATGCAGTACTGAAACTCGCACATTTCGAACACTCATGTGTGTTTGTCAATGGGGCATAGCTGCGGCCGCACGTGTTCCCAGTAGTGAAAAGGAAGTTGTGTTGTGCAGTTGTTGGAAATGGGTCTCTTGACGGAGGAAAAAGTATTCATAGTTGAGTATTATTTCCACTCATATGGAAGTGGTCACCAGACAACTCACTTCCTTGGTTTTGAGAGGCCAGATGTTATCGTCCAGAAACCGCTACACAGTACACGTGTGACGATATGGTGTGCCGTCTCAGCACACGGTATATTAGGCCCCTATTTCATTGAGGATGAGGAAGGCACTGCTCTTACTGTCACCCAAGAACACTACAGGGACATGGTGATTGGACCATTTCTTCAGGATTTGAGATGGTTCTGTCGTGCAAGGGGCCTTCACATGAATAGACAGTGGTATCAACAGGACGTCTTTTCATTTCAGTACTGTATATTTTGGTGCATACTGTGTGTAAACCCTCTTGTTATCCACATTGGAGATGAGGCTGATTATTAAAGTGTTGCCCATTACATCTCTTTCAGTAATACATATCTGTGATGCTGTATAACAATTTTCAGTGGACTGGACGTACTCTCACCTTATTGCAACTTATATTTTTATTGTTTCTCCATGGGGCTACCACTAAACAACTTTGCTCATACATGCCTATTGATGAAGGGATGGAATAAATTTCCTTTACTGCTTCAGATATTAGTTTTTAATTCCACTGTTTTTATTATTCTTTGAACTCATGAAGCAGAGTCCTTGAAAAGTGAATAGTTGCTCATCTAGCCAAGGAATTCCCTGCTTTTTATGAGACCTGAAGGTCCATTACCATTTTCACAAAAGCCTGCTCCTGATTCCACCTGGAGCCAGATATGTACAGTCTACATCCTCACACCCATTATATGCCAAGCAGTCTCTTCCTTCAGGTTTTCCATCTAAGATATTGTATGCATTTCCCTTCTGTCCCATGCATGCTACATGTTCTGCCATCTTATTTCCCTTGATTTTATCACCCTAATAATATTTTGGGAAGGTACAAATTATTTGTGAAGTAGTAAATTTCATATTTTCCTTGAAAAATATTTCTGTTATGTGTTTAATATGCTAAATAATCAGCAAACAGTAAGTGGTTAATTGATCCAAGTATTGTTGTGATAGCTATATACACAATATAAATAAAATTACTCTGATCTTAATTGGTTTAACAGGATTATGAAGAATTTGATTTAGCAAATGAAGTTGATGAGCTGGATAAATTCCTAAAACTTTCAACAAGTGTGTCAACATGTGAAATAACACTGGGAAAGACGGCAGATAGTAAGGATTCTGCTGAAAATGGAGAACTAAATGGAATTGCTTCCAGTAGGGAGGTAAGTATTGCTGATATTACTTCTTTTAGCCTTCTGTTATAGACAGACTGAGTTCTTATTTAATTAAATGTAAATTAATCATTGTAACAGAATTCAGCTGAGAAAGAGAAAGAAGCCGTGGAAGAAGACTCAAAGACTGAAGAGGAGGAAGCTACTGAGGAAGAATAAGATCATGGTGGGTATCTGTGTGTTAATTAGTGTTAATACAAATAATCAGAAGTACAATAAAAATAATGTCCTTAATATTAAAATACACCGTCAATAATGCAACAGTGATATAAAAGACACCTAAAATATACATTTTCCACTAAAAGTATAACTTTAATACTTTAAAATGTTATTAGATGTCATAAAATGTCATTAAGACACTGCAAGTATATCTTATACACTAAAGGTGACTATCAGAATACTTCAAAATGTATTTTTGTTTTTACATAATGTTGCAACATGTTTCGTATGCACATGGGCCATCATCAGGCAACATTTTACTTTGTGGGGAGACCATGTGTGGCCAAAACATATTGTAACATTATGTAAAAACAAAAAGACATTTTGAAGTATTTTGATAGTCACTTTTAGTGTATAAGATATACTTGCAGTGTCTTAATGACATTTTATGATATCTAATAACATTTTAAAGTATTAAAGTTACACTTTTAGTGGAAAATATATATTTTAGATGTCCTTTATATCATTGTTGCATTATTGATGGTGTACTTGAATAATAAGAATGATGCCTCAATGTGCTAGGATGCTGAAATATAAAAATTTATGTTCATTATTGAACAGAAGGGATGTTTATCCCTGAATGACATGAACAATTTTTGTTTCATTCCCTTATGATATCCAATTCAAGCTACATACGAAAGTGAAAATAGAAAGATGGATGGCAGTTCTGAAGGCACACACACTCATAGATACTGTTGTTATATTAATGGCTACTTTAAAGTCAGTGAATTTTAGGCAGATATTTAAAACAGGATGATGGACAATGAACATCGCCTGTCGTCATGTTATTTAAAAAGGGATGATGGATAATGTCCAGAAAGTCCATGAGTATATTAATATACCATCGTCACGAACTTTTACATCTTATTTATCTGTAACGTTTCTTTTTGTCAGGTAAACAGCAAAATATGCCCAAACATGTATTTAGGCCTGTAAGTAGTATGGGCCTTTAAGTAAATTAAAGTTAATGAAACACATTGATAATAACTTATATATATATATAACTAAGAAAATGCTCAAAAACTGTGAACATACCAGTACGTCACAGATGCTGCAGAGACAAGTACAAAAGGACACACAGTGACTCACTCTTGTGGATGTATACAAGTACTTCTTAATCTGTTGTGTGCATCTTTCAGGTTTGGATCAGAAGTGAACATAAATTTCACCTAATTCTTTGTTAGCTTCAGAAAATTTTAATTTGTGCAGAAGTTCCTAATTAAGAGATAAGGCTCATATACATCTTTAACCAGATGTGTTTCTTCCTTTGCAGCACCAATATTTTCCAGAACATGAGTGCCATGTGCAGCCATCATGTTACTGCCATTTTTTCTGGGTAAAGGCATCTTCCCATGTGCAGTTGGCCTATTCTGATGTTTCCTTCTTTTTGTTGTTTTTGAAACTGTCCATTGTTTGCACCCACATTTCAAAGCCCTTTGTATAATATGCATGATAATATTTGGTGTGTTCAGAATGTAATAACTGACAGTGAAGAATGTGTAAATTGTGTACAAATTACAAATTTAATTAAATTACAATTTGAGCCATGTTTGAACTGTGGTAACATTTGACTATTACACACATTGCCTATTATCACTGAATTAAGTTCATAAACTTCTAGAACCTGTGAGTGTAATTTGTCTTAAATTTTAATTGCTTTGCTCTGTGGCCTTTAGTCCACAAGCGAACTATGCTTGTCGGCAAAGTTAGTGCCAACTTTTGTGGATAGAGGGTATTGCGTGGTCAGCGCAACAGATTCCCATAGCCATTAATCTCGGTTTTCTATACCGGAGCCACTACTTTTCCGTTAAAGTAGCTCCTCAGTTATCCTGACAAGGCTGAGTGGACCCTGTTCAGACCCACTACTCAGGAAATCTGGTGGTGCCGGGAATCGAACCCGGGACCTCAGGATCTGTAGTCAGCAACTCTAAACACTAGACCACAGAGGCGGTCCTATTCTTTCCTGTATCTGAAATATATGTTTTTCTCTTAACAAAAGATATTTTCTGTCCTAGTGTAAGAATTGCTAGCAATATAGCATTATCTTAATATATTATTTTACTTCCATGTGCCTCGGGGGCATCAGAGTAGGTGAACGAACTTGCTGATTCCATGTTGTTAAGGTATTGTCTGTTACTGGAACCTTCTTGCATTTGCCACCAATTTTGGGTTTCCTTCTCCAGCAGTCCACTTTAGGGGGGGGCACTTTACTGTAATCTGGTGGCAGAATGTGCACACAATGATGGAATCCAGCATGCCTTTGGATCCTGAAGCTCCCAGTTACTGGCTTTGATGACTCAAGCTTGGAATCAGTTGCCTGTGCACATCTCACGTCCCCCCACCCTGAGATACTTTCTTGAGACTCTGGGGCATCAAGAGTAAGTGAACTCTCTTGCTGTTCACTGTTGGTAATGAATCATCTGGAACCAGATCAGTTATCGTCTTCACTGATTTTGTTCTCCTGCACCAGCAAAAACACCCAAACCCTTTGTTTTCATGTTCTGGAATCTTGTCTTTGCCATCGATTTTTTGGTACCATCCTCGATGTGATGACCTCCAACACATTGCTAGTAGAGTTGGGATCGTAGTGGGCTTTTCCATACCATCCCGAAGAGGCACACTCAAGTTAGCTGGTAGTGATGCAGGTCCTATGGAGTGAACCTTTTTCGGAGCTCCTTTCCCATGCCTGGGCGGCATCAGAGAAGGGAAGCGGACTTGATGATTCCTTGTTGTTAACGTATTGCCTGTTATCAGAACCTTCTTGCATTCACCACAAATTTTAGGTTTCTCTCTCCAGCAGTCCACTTTGGGGGGAACTTTGCTGTAAAATGCTGGCAGAATGTGCACAAAGCAATGACATCCAGCATACCTTTTACTCCTGAAGTCCCAGTTACTAGCTTTGATCACTCAAGCTTGGAATCAGTCACCTGTGCACATCTCATGTCCCCCCCCCCTGGATACTATCACGTGAAACTGGGGCATCAGAATGGATGATCTCTCTTGCTGATTCTCTGTTGGTAACGAATCATCTGGAACTGGATCAGTTATCTTCTTCTGTGTTTTCTTTCTCCTGCACCAGTGAAAAAACATGCACCCTTTGTCTTCTTTCTGTTCTGGATTCATCGTTACCGTCGACTTTCGGTACCATCCTCGATGCACTCTCTACGGAGCGGACCGTTTCCAGAGCTCCTTACAGAAGTACATAAGCTAAATTGTTTACTGTTGTGCAAAAATTTATAAAATCACATGTATGAAAAGTTGTTCAGTGTCTCCAGTTTTAATACATGCATGAAATATAATTTTGGTGATTGGCAGATTCATTTTAAAGATTTACAAAGCATCAAATATATATATGGTTATGTTTCAAAATATATTTCCTTGTAAAACATATTTACTGTGCTTTTATATATGAAAGTTATATAATTTGGCCTTACCATAGCTCAGGTGGTTAGTTTCCAGCTCACTGTGGCAGTCACTCTTAATCCCAGTCATTTCATGTGGGATTTGTGGTGGACAAAATGACACTGGGGCAGGTTTTCTGTAAGTACTTTGATTTTCCTTGCAAATTCTCATTCTTCCGAATGCTCCATATCTCTCATCTGTCATCTGGGCTGGTACAGTGGGCCATTTAAAGCCTAAGTACCAAGGGACTGTGTATCACCATATCCCAAGAATAAAAAGAATACATAACTTCATAATGAAGTTTTTCAGATTTTGTAATGGTATACTTGGTTATATTGGCCATCAGCCTAAATATTAAATAAGGTCATTTAGTGATGTTTACAGAAATTTCACTGATCAGTTATTATATATATTTAAAGACAAAATACTGATTTGCGCCATCAGAGTCATGTTGAAGATTGATTCTATATAATAAAACTTGTTCATTGTAATGTAATAGCATCAGCTGTATGTAAAAAAAAATATACTTTCTGTACATTTTGATATGTTTATTCTGTTTTATATTAGTTTGTTCCCTGTATTACAAAATACCTGATTTAGTTTATCGATCTAAAATTAATATTTTTGTATTGCAAGTATGTTAATTTGTCTCCTGTTGTTTACTTTGTGCAGTAGATTGTGCTCATAACAGCAGGCACAACTAAAAGGTATATAATTTAAATCAGTGGTTGTAAGGTATTTGGACTGTAAAATAAGAGGTTATTTACTTGCTCATTATTCATTCATGAAAATCTGTACATTATATATATATATACACACACACACACAGAATACTTAATAATAAAGCAGTGTTTAAATAAGGAAGTGCAATGCAACTTGAAAATTATATAGCTTAGATGTGCATTCAGATCCTGTCAGGGATTTGCTGTTCCAGAAATATTCAACAGAGAAATTGAGGTGACTTACTGAACAGTTAAATCAAAGGGAATTTGGAATAAGGCCTAAGTAAAATTTTCACATGGTCACCTCATCCTGACACCAGGAGGGCTAGAACCTGAATGGGTGCTGGTCTGGCAGGAGAGGAGAAAGGATGGTTAAGAAGAAAAGGAAGGCGAGGGGGGACAAAGAGGAGCAGCAATAATAGGTTAATAATAGGGTTAATGCCCTCCCATTAACCTTGCCTTTCACACCCGACACAATATCCCATACCTGCTCTAACCTTGCTCCTGTCCCAGACCGTTNTATTTCATTTGTAGCCAGTGAAAATGGGAAGTAAAATAGTTCAAATTTTCTTTTGCCTGTATAAACTAGGGTGAATGGGATTATTAGTTTTGCACACTGATCTACATACTTGGGATACATTTTTATCTGATAAGGGTATTCTTATTAGTAGAGATTCATTTTGATGCTAATTAAAATGCTGTACTTGTTTTCTGGGTTGTATCAAGTTTCTAAACATGTGTTGTAAAAATGTGCATTGTTAAATTTGGAATATTTTCTAGTTAATTAAAGACTGGATACAAAATATGATAAACTGTATAAAAAAACATATAAATATGTGTATCTCATGAGGTGGTCTGAATCCACAATCCAAGGAACTGACCATATGTGTCTCCATGCTCTGAAGAGTCAGGACTGCAACAGCACATTTAAGAGGTACTAGTAACAAAAAGCATATGCTGCAAAACATAATAGCATTATATTCCAAATTCTGTAATAGCTACAAAATTACATAGTTGCTTTAGTGTCATATATGGATAAATATGACACTAAAGAAAGAAAAGTTTCTGTCTGTATAAAAATACAGCATGGACTTAATGTAAATTAATAATTTCAGTTTTATAATGTAATAACATGTAAGATTTGAGGTTTTCACGGCGGTGACTATGAAAAAAGCAGTCTTCTGGGATGTGGCACCGTGTAGATGTCGTGTTAA